GGGGAGAAAGAGAGAGGGGGAGATAGAGAGATATAGAGACAGAGGGAGAAGGAGAAGGAGAGGGAGAGAGAAAGAGAGGGATGGAGAGAGAGAAAGAGAGAGACGGGGAGAAAGAGAGAGAGGGAGGGAGAGGGAAAGGGAGGGAGCGAGAAAGAGAAAGAGAAAGAGAGAGAATATGAAATACCAGCTCATGACCCTTCTCCTGGGGGAAAGGAACACCCAAGGGTTTAGTGAGCGGAACAACCCCTGTGTCAAAAAGCTAAAAGCTACCGGGCGCGTGGGAGAGAGAGAGAGAGAGAGGCTGCAACTTCCCCACCCACCCCTGCATTTTGTGGGGCTGAACGGAGGGCTCCCATTCTGCTCTGTGTCCCACGGAGAAGCGGTGAGTAAATGAGTGACCAAGGATCTGCTTGGGTGAACGCTAAGGGCCGAATTGTGCCCCGGGAACTGGCCTCCCTCCTGACTCTTCAAGAGCTCCCCTCTCCTCCGGGGATTATGGCTCAAAGGGGCTGCCAAGAAGAGCTTGTCCAGCCAGGGTGAGATCCAACTAGCTCTGCTCCCCGTTCCCTCCGCCACGCAAGGGCACCTCCAGTTCTTTGCTCACCCATCAGACTGATGATTAACCCACCTACCATTAGCCCCAACCGGCATTAGCCGGTTCCTTTCTCATTACGCCGTCTCCTGGGCCTAAGGGACACCCTTTTCTGTAGTAACAGAGGAGAGAGGGGGGAAAAAACAACCTCCGTTGAGCCCAACATTTTCGTTGCTAAACAGGACATTTGTTAAGTGAATTTTGCCATGTTTCTCACCACGGTTGCTAAGCGAATCCCTGCTGTTGTTAAGTGAGTGACACGGTTGCTAAGTGAATCCCTGCAGTTGTTAAGTGAGTGACACGGTTGTTAAGTGAATCCGGCTTCCGCGTGGACTTTGCCGGTCAGAAGGTTGCAAAAGGGGGACCGCCTGACCCCGGGACACAGTGACTGTCATAAATAGGAGTCAGTTGCCAAGCGTCTGGATTTTGATCACGTGACCGCGGGGAGGCTTTTGTACGTGTGAAAAAGGATCCTAAGTCCCTTTTTTCAATGCCGTTGTGACTTCGGGCGGTCGCTAAATGAACGGTTGTAAGTCGAGGACGACCTGTGCTTACATCCGGCTGCCTTCCAGAGTCAGCTGTTGTTAGAAAAGGCTGCCCATCTTATTCCGCTGTAAGCTCTCACGATTTATGAAGGAAGCACGGATATGACCGAGAGAGAGCGAGAAAGGGCAAAGCCGTCTCCTTAGAAGGAAGGCAGGAAATAAATCTAATTAATCAACCAAATATGGAAAAATACTTGGCACTGTTCATGCACATCAACATATGCTGACAGGCAGACATGGATTAGACAAGAGAAATCGCCGGAAAACAAACAACAACAGAGGAAAAACCATGTTAATTCTATGTGGGGAGGAGACTTTCTTAAGTTACTGAGGGCCAAAGAGCTTGGAATATTTGGGAATGTCTCAAGCCAGCCCGGGTGAATCCAGCAAGACCAGAGGTGCCCCGAGAACTGCAAAAGCAGCACCCGCCCCGGATTAAATCCACAAGCCTTGTGTAAAAGAAGAGCAAACCTCAGGGTGGGTCACCTCGGTTTTTCTGACACCCTTAGGCAGTTCCAGCTCCATGGAGTAGTTCAGCCAGGGGTTTTCTGCCCTCCATGGAGAGGGGGCAAAAGGTGGGGGCCTTCCTGGATGCTCAGCCGGTGCTCCTCTGGGGCTAAGCTGCTATTACCTCCCCCCCCCCACACACACACACCTCCTTCCTATCGCTGGGGTAGCCTCAGAAGTGTGTGTGTGTGTGTGTGTGTGCGCGCGCGCCAGGCAATTAATCCCAGTCTTTCCTGGGAGGAACTTTTCTTACTCAGCAAACACCCGCCACCCCGTCCTTTGATGTTGTTTGAGTAGCTGGGCTGAGGCTCTCCTGGCTACTCCCCGTGCAGCCAGTCCCTAGGCCTAGCCTCAGTCAGAGGGTCATCATCAGATTGCTTGGCTTCCTATCTATCTTCAGCATAAAAAAAAAAATTAACATTTTTTTTACGTTTGGTAACTGGGGTGATTGCTCTGCTGAGAAGGAATGGAAGGAATGTGGCAGGCCAACCATGGAGGGGGGAGACGGGAGCGATGGTGAACCAGCGGATCTAACTCTGATCTGGAAGGCGTGATTGTGGGCAACGGGGGGGGGGGGGAAGTCCCTCCAATTTGTCCTGGGAGAAACAATGAGCCTAAAATGGCCCAGAGCAATTCTTCTTTCTCCAGCCCAGGGGCACGCCTCCACCAGCAGTCAGGT